GCCTTCCAGGGCCAAAGTAGTATTTCCTTAAATACTTGAAGGTCTCTTATGACTATCCATAAGGTACAAGTCGCTGTATTTTCAGGAGAGAGGCACATTAATGCTGGCTTCCTTCATCACTCAGGAGCACAGGTTGACAGTGGTCTCCAATGTGGCCTCATAGCCAACTGTCAGGCCTTGGGGTGCCAAATTTAGTTGGAATAATTTATGTTACTCTTAATATTTGGAAAGACTAGCTGAAAGCAATCAGTCCAACCTGTTCTAGTTTTCCAAACCACCAGCCTCCCTCATGGAATGACCAAGAAAAGAGGCAGAAAAGACATCTAGAGGTAACAGGTGATACTTTTGCAGAAGTGCAGGAGCTAGGGCAATCCCCTACTGTTTCTGGTAGACTTCTCAGAAAATTTGAAAGGAACGATGATCAAATAGCAGTTGGAATCATCTAAAGGAGAAATGCTTGTAACAGTTTAGGAGAGATATACCAAGTGTCTTCCTTCATGAGGAAGGCTCATGGGGCTAATCTAAAAAACAAAAATTATTTGTGCCTCTCTCCTCTGCACCCTCAGGGTCTAAAGTACTTGTATTAGTCCATTCTCATGTTGCTATGAAGAAATACCTGAGACTGGGTAATTTATTAAGGAAAGAGGTTTAATTGACTCACAGTTCCGCATGGCTATGGAGGCCTCAGAAAACTTATAATCATGGCAGAAGGGGGAGCAAACGTGTTCTTCTTCACATGGTGGCAGGAGAGAGACTGAGTGTCCAGAAAAGGGGGAAGCCCCTTATAAAACCAGCAGGTTTTGTGAGAACTCACTTACTATCATGAGAACAGGATGGGGGAAATCGCCCCCATGATTCAGTTACCTTCTACCAGGTCTCTCCCACGACACATGGGGATTATGGGAACTATAATTCAAGATGAGATTTGGGTGGGGACACAGTCAAACCTTATCAGTATTCCTTACCCAGGTGCTGGATTCTTGCTCTCCCTCCACTGTTTCAAAAATCAGTGTGTCCTATTACAATAGCTACAACATCCCCTTTTCTCTAATCATCCCAGATCTTTCATCTGATAGGGGTCATGTACAAGAAGAAAAAGGACACTTTTTAAAACTTATAGAGATCTACAATATTCCCTACTTTGGCCTGTGAGCCACCTACCCCCACAAAAGGGAGATTTAGAATGTAGCATATTCAACTAAATTGTCATTACCTTTTGATCTAGGCCCACATCAGACCAGCAAGAGAATCCAGGTGACTAAACAGAATTAGCTTGAATGTCCTAGGCCACCTTTTGGCCAGCCTGCAAACCAAAGAGTTCACCAACCAGACTGGCTTGTGGTTGCCATTAGGGGAACAAAAAAGTATCAGGTCCAGGAATGGTCAGGACATAATCCAAAATCTTAAAATAGAGCTATACACTTCCCATTCCTTTCATCATGATCATTACCCAAGAAGTTGCCAAAAGTAGAAGATCCCTATCTGCGGACAGCCACATCAGTGACCAACTGCCTTACTAAGGAGTGTGGACCAGGAAGAGGTAAGGGAGGTTGTATTAGCTTCCTAGAGTGCCCTAATGAATTATCACAAACTAGGTGGCTTAAAACAATAGAAATTTCTTTTCTCACAGTTCTGGAGGCCAAAACCAAGGTGTTATCAGAGATGTACTTCCTCTGAAGGCCCTAGGGAAGGATCATTCTTTGCCTCTTCCAGCTTCTGGTTGCTCCAGACATTCCTCGGCTAGTGGCTGCATAACTCCATTCTCTATCTCCATCTTCACCTGGTCTTCTTTCCTGTCCATGTTTCTTCTCTGCTCTGTTATAAGGAGATTTGTCATTAAATTTAGGACCTACCTGTGTAATTCAAAACATCTCATCTCAAGATGCTAAATTTAATTATATCTGCCAAGACCCTTTTTCCAAATAAGGTAATTTTCACAGGGTCTCGGTATTAGGACTTGCACATATTTTGTGGGGGATTTAACCTGCCACAGAGATATAGTCAGCAATCTTTTTGAGTCAATTTTTGAGGAGGCCATTCCAATACTTAACAGTACCACATGCCTGTGAATGATACAGCATGTGGAAAGACCACAGGATAACTATTATTAGCCCATTCTTGAGTGACTTTTATGATAACAAATGCATCACTATCAGACTGCAAATAGTATGGAAAGCCAAACACATTATGCATATTAGTTTCAAGGGCCACAACAGTGTAGCTGGAGTCTGTTGACCAGACTGCAACAACAACACTGTAACCTGAAGGAGTATCCACAGCAGTGAAGTACCACTGATAGCCCAATAGAGGGGTCAAAGATCCAATGTAGTACATCAATCACCAGTGCATGGATGGCAGTGTGGCAGCCTGCAGCATGAGACAAATGGAAGCTTATGGCAGGATTCACAGGTCTAGCATGCAGTGGCAGCCTCAGAAACACTGGATCCTTTACTTTGTTCCCAGTCTATCATGGTGGATTTGTTGCCATGTATGGTATGAGGATGGATTCCAGCAGCAATGGTAGCAATCCAAGCTGTGCAGTCTTGATCAGCAATTTGATTTCAGTTGATTTCATCAAAGAATGGGTTCTTATGATATTTACATGAATGAGCCTGACTGTTTTAACACAGTTCATGATCCCAAAGAGGGATATCTCTAATCTGCCAGCCTTTGGTTTTCCAGGTGGCAGACCAGGTAGCTAGGCCATTGGCAACACCCCAAGAGTCAGTAAAAATATAACAGAGTCTATCAAGGGGAATATTAGGCAAAGCTGTGAGAAGACCTTGGATTCTACCCCACTGATAAGACTGAATGCATCCATTTTGCCTCTGCATAGCTGAATAGCTATGGCAGCCCACTGGACAGTATTGGGTTTGAGCTTTGCCAAACTGTCAGTGACTCAGGCCTAGGCATCAATAGCAGGAACCAACAAATTTTTCTTAAAGGCCCAGATGGTAAATATTTTAGGCTTATAGGATATGTGATCTCTTTTGCAACTACTCAGCTCTCCCATAGTAACACCAAAGTAGACAACACATTATGTTCTGTCCACATAAAGAAAAAAATAAAAATAGAAAATACAGGAATGAATGAGTGTAATTGAGTTTTAATGAAACTTTATTTGGGGATATAAAATCAATGTACAAAAATCAGTAGCATTCCTATACACAAACAGCACCCAAGCTAAGAGACAAATCAGGAATGTAGTCCCATTCACAATTGCTACAAAAAAATAAAATAAAATACCTAGGAGTACAGCTAATCAGGGAGGTGAAAGATCTCTACAATGAGAGTTACAAAACACTGTTCAGAGAAATCAGAGATGACACAAACAAATGGAAGAACATTCCATGCTCATGGATAGGAAGAATCAATATGGTTAAAATGGCCTCACTGCCCAAAGCAATTTACAGACTCAGTGCTACTTTTACCAAACTACCAATGACATTCTTCACAGAATTAGGAAAAGCTATTCTAAAATTCATATGGAACCAAAAAAGAGCCTGAAAAGCTAAAGCAATCCTAAACAAAAAGAGCAAAGCTAGAGAAATCACACTGTCTGACTTCAAACTGTACTACAAGGCTAGAGTAACCAAAACAATAGAATACTGAGATAAAAACAGATACATAGACCAATGGAACAGAATAGAAAGCCCAGAAATAAAGCTACACACAACCATCTGATCTTTGACAAGGCTGACAAAAACAAGCAACGAGGAAAGGACTCCCTATTCAATAAATGGTACTGGGATAATTGGCTAGCTGTTAGACAATATATGCAGAAGATTGAAATTGGACTCCTTCCTTACACCACATACAAAAATTAACTCAAGATAGATTAAAGGCCTAAATATAAATCCTAAAACTATAAAAACCCTGGAAGGTAACTTAAGGAATATCGTTTTGGGCATTAAAAACTTGCAAAGCTTTCATGACAAAAATGCCAAAAGCAATTGCAACAAAAGCAAAAATTGACAACTGGGACCTAATTAAACTAAAGAGCTTCTGCACAGCAAAAGAAACTATCAAGAGTAAACAGGTGATCTACAGGATAGGAGAAAATATTTGCAAACTATACATCTGACAAAGGGTTTAATATCCAGAATCTACAAGGAACTTAAACAAACATACAAACAAAAAGCAATTAATCCAATTAAAAAGTAGGCAAAAATGGGTAAAGGACATAAAAAGACATTTCAAAAGAAGACACACGCGCAGCCAACATGCACATGAATAAATGCTCAATATCACTAATCATTAGAGAAATCAAAATCAAAACCAAAATACCATTTTATACCAGTCAGAATGGCTATTATTAAGAAGTCAAAAAATAATAGATGCTGGCAAGGTTGTAGAGACAAAGGGAATGTTTATATACTGTTGGTGGGAATGTAAATTAGTTCAGCCATTGTGTAACGCAGTGTGGTGATTCCTCAAAGAACTAAAAACAGGACTACCATTTGACCCAGCAATCCCACTACTGGGTATATACCCAAAGGAATATAAATTGTTCTACCATAAAAACACATACACACATATGTTCATTCCACCACTATTCACAATAGCAAAGAGGTGGAATCAGCCACATGCCCATCAGTGGTGGACTGGATAAAGAAAATGTGGTACACATACACCATGGAATACTAGGCAGCCATTAAAAAAGTACCAGATCATGTCCTTTGCAAAAACATGGATGGAACTGGAGGCCATTATTCTTAGCAAACTAATGCAGGAACAGAAAGTCAAATATTGCATGTTCTTACTGTAACTGGAGCTAAATAATGAAAACACATGAACACATAGAGGGAAACAACACACACTGGGGCTCTGAGAGGGTGGGGGATGGGAGGAGGAAAACGTTCAGAGAAAAAAAAAACAACTATCAGGTTCTATGTTTACTACCCAGGTGACAAAATAATCTGTACATCAAACCCCCAAGTCATGAGTTTGCCTATATAACAAACCTGCGCATATACCCCTGAAAGTAAAAGTTAAAATTTTATTAAAAGAATATTTTTAAATGTGTTCCCTCATATGCTTCTTTGCACTGTTTATTTTTATCATGAAAAACATAGTTTTGTTTTATTTATTTAAAAAAAAAAAAAAAGTGGCCAGCCTGCAGGCTATAGTTTGCTAACTTCTCGGGGAAAATTTTGTGAACTGAAGGCCCTGTTGAGCCAGTGATTTTGTTTCAAATGGTAGACTAGAGGAGATAGTTTTTCCCAGAGGATTACCTGCCAGTTTTTCAAGCAAAGCTGAGATGCTACTGGGGCCAGGGTGGCTGCATTATCGAATATACTGTATCTATTTGACAAACAAAGGTTATTGGGCTCTTCACAGCTTGTTAGTGGTTGAGTCCAAGTTGACCCCCAAAATAAGAATGTCAGACTGGAAATCCCAAAGTCTCCATGAATTAGGCATTCAATGTTGACAAGAGCCAGATAGCAAGTTAATTGCTACTTTTCAATAGAAATGTACCTGGTATCCATGTCAGTGAGGTAAACAAGACCAAAATCCCCGGGAGCACCTCTAGATAAAGACTGCTTCTCTTTACCAGAAGTTCCCATCAGCGAAATCATCAGTCATGGAGACTTGTAGCTCACAGGGATAAAAACAGACTTCTTGTTGGTGGTGATCGTTGCTGTTTTTTTTTCTTTGAGTCCCACTTACGGGGTGCTGATTTTCAAGTTACCCTATGTACAGGACCAATAAAAATGGGCAAGTGAGAAATATACTGTCTCTAATAACCAAAAAAAGTACTATCAGGTGCCAGGTCTTCTTTTTGGTGGTGGTTAGCTAGAGAGAGTAGTTTTTTTTTTGACTGAGAGATTGAACACTGTGGATCCATACATGGTCCCCAAAACCTTCATTCAGTGAGCAAGCCTCTGGATTTTCTCAGCGTTTCAGCCACCCCTGCTGGCAGATGTGGGATAATAACATGGTCAGGACCTGCTCAGGCTTCTGACTTGCTACCCAGGAGGATGTCATTGGAATAGTGAAAACTTTGGGCATCTGAGGATGGAGACATTCAGGCAAAATCCCAACTCACCCACTGGATGCAAATATCAGGATGGTTTATCCCACTAACACTCCATACATGAGCCTCTTTCTCTGATCGTGAGAATCCCCTCTGGCAACTTCTGGGTCAGGGAAGTACAGGAGTATAAAACATCAATTCATACTATAGATTCACCCTATCCACAAGGTCGTGTTAACTTCCCTTCCCTACTGTATACCCAACCCAACCCCTGTCACTTGGGACTTTGGGATGGGTTGTCTATGTCCAATAGAACTTAAAAGTTTGAGGTCCTTCCCTAGCCAAGCTTTCCCAACATACTCAGATAAGTGTATAACGCTTCCAGTTGCCCTTGGGGACAGGGAGACCTTGGCACAGCCCCAGTCATTCTTCTCTTTAAAGCAGCTGAGATCAAGCTCAAGAGAGATGGGGAGATAGCAGAGGTGCAGAGGAACAGAGTGATTCTGCACCGGAAATCAAGGCTTTTCATTTACTTTCAGTGTTAAGCAGTGACAGTGCAGTACAAGCAAATGAACTTCTAATGCCTTTAGCCTGTCTAAATCTCTGTATCTTTGTTGCTGACACCATTTATTTCAGCATCATTGCCTCGGTAGCTATAGCCATATTGACTTTTGGCTCTGGCCACAGGGCTTGCTGCCTCATTGTCACTATAACATTTCTTCTTCTTCCCACCTGAAGTAAGCAAGCAATGACAAAAACACTGTTCTGATTGCTTGTTTTACTCCTACGCCCCTTCACCTGGCTATAAAACATATTAACAGGTAGGACCGTGGAGACCCTCACTAATTCCCCTACAATCCTTGCTCACCCATTGGGTAAGAGTGTTACCGCTGGATTCTAGAAAGTCCTTTCATATTCCTGAGGCTGACCCATATGGTACTTATCCTTTCTTTTTCAGAAAGCAATGTCCCTATCAGCATCTTATACTATCACCAAAAACTGCTGAGAACTACCAAGGGTCTGAGGTTTTACCTGCTTGCAATTAACAAAGTAGCCAGCCATGGTTTCATGGATGAAAGCAGAAAACACTGGACTCCTGGTTCAAAGATACAGCACCTTATCACTCACAACACAGCAGATGGCATGGGCTTCATATTTATGCTGCTTCCTTTTGACCCTCAAATTAGGAGTGATCTGGGGAGGGCCTTGGTGAATGCTGCACACACACACTGTGGCTGAGGAACCATGAGTTCAGGTGTCCCAAACCTTTTATAGTAGACAGTAAGCAAGCCTACCTACCACCTGCTCCCAAGGGGAACGCTATTATCTTCCAAGGCTGTTTGCTATACAAACATCCTTGAAAGACACTTCAAAACAAAGAGACAGTTAGAGCTTCTTCTCATGAAACATGCAAAAATGCAAGCAGAATTGTCTTTGAGCATCCAATCGTCTCCACTTCATATTCCCTCACTTGTTTATTTTTTTGTTGTCTTTTGCTCCCACCAAAACGTAAGCTTCATGAGATCAGGGACCTTCTGTGTGTTGGTCTCTGCTCTTCCCCTACCATCTAAAACAGGAATTCACATATAGTAAATGCTCAGTAGATATCTGTTGAACAAACAAATTTCTCAAAATCTTGTTTTTGAATACACAGCTTAGGTGACTTGTCTTCAGAGGAGCCATACCAGATCCTGTCACTGAAATTTATTAGTCAGGCATTTGGGCTTTCATATTACTTCTTGTACTTTGGGCACGGCACTTGTAATTGGACTTTTTGTGCTATGGTTCTTTTTTATTCATGTTTGTCTAGCTAGATTGAAAAACCCTTGAAGATGGGTATTGAGTCTTATTTACAGGGCTGAGACTAGGGTGAAGCAAGTGAAGAACCTCAGCACAAAATTTAAGGAGGTCGCCTCAAGCACACGCAAATGTGCCCTACACACCTTGCTTGCCTGACCCTAGCCAGTCCTGCTTACTTGTCTTCATATCTTCAGAGGCCACTAAAGTGGCTTTCCTCTAATAGATGTTCCACTAATGTGTATTCAGTTAAAATGAATATGATCACAAACTGAAAGTGTTTGACACCCATTTGCTTAGTACCTAATATTTGCCCTTTGTCCCTTTAGGGGCATGTTCACCATTCTCCACCCTGCTTTGTGCCACAGAAGGTAGACCTGTGTGAACTGTATCAAAAGACACTCTTGCCTCTAGCTACTATTTGGATTGGTTGGTGGGAACTCCCAGTAGAAACTGGAAGGGCAGAAGGAAAATAAGTTCAGGACCCTAGGTCCCTTGCTGCAAGGTCACCTTGGATTGGCTATTTCCTCCAGCAAAGACACAGCTCCTGTCAGTCAGACCTCTCTTACAGTACAGTCACTCTCTTCAGGTTCCAGTAGTTGCTCCCACCCCTTGTTCCTTCATGCCTAAGACAGGTGATAACTCCCCATTATGGCTGGCTCTGGAATGCATTCCTATATCTTTTGGGTTCCCTCAACTCTGACTGCATCTTTTTACATAGTTCATTTATTAAAACTCTTTCAGGCCAGGCACAATGGCTCATGCCTGTAATCCCAGCACTTTGGGAGGCTGAGGCAGGAAGATCACTTGAGCCCATGAGTTTGAGATGAGCCTGGGCAACATGGAAAAATGCTGTCTGTACAAAAAAATAAATAAATAAAAAATTAGCTGGGTGTGGTGGTGTATACCTGTAGTCCCAGCTACTTGGGAGGCTGACATGGGAGAATCACTTGAGCTAGTAGCTTGAGCCGGGGAGGCTGAGGCTGCAGTAAGCTGTGATCACACCACTACACTCCTGCCTGGATGACAGAGAGAGACTGTGCCTCAAACAAACATTTTCAATTATTTCATTTGAGTGTGCTATTTTTTTCCTATTGAGACCCTTAAAGAACACGATATTGGACCTCAACAGATATTTTATAATAAATATGGAGAAAAGCAATGGTAAAATATACCGCTTAATTTTTTAAGTATAAAAGATAGCATTTTAAAAGAAAACTTGACAGCAACTATATGGTATTTTATTGGTTTCAACCAAATGAATTTAAATTTCAATGGATCATGATACCTAAAATTGATAAAGTAATAAAATTAAGCTAAAGGGGAACTAGTTTGAAGCCTGGGAAGGCTGATGATGTACTGTGAATAATGAATGCTAGAAGGTGGGGATATTTTTATAACTCACCTTTTTGTCATTAATAAGTTAATCACAAATCTATGTATCAAAATGAAAATGCTCAGTTAAAGGAATACCTAAAGCCTTAGGTGACTCCAAGTAGTATTAGGGCAGAAAGACTTAAAAGAGTCTGAAAACTAAAGGATGCCTAGGTAAAATAATTGCAATTATTTTAATGATTAACAGCATAAGCATGAACATTTCTTGATAACAAAATGGCATTAATGGTCCTGGCTGGTAAAAGCTAAAAGCTTTAATTTACTAGAAAAGGGTTAAAGTTGATATACTGTTTCATCTGGGAAACTCCATTACTGAAAAGCAGAAGAGCAAATTGATTAATAGGTGGTTTTAACAATGGTTTCATGCTTTGGTCACTACAAATAGAGGGAAGAGTGATGGAAATCCTACTAAATTCATAACATCTTAATAAACCCAGAGAATTTTTTATTCTAACAGTAAGTTTATTTTGATACGGGGCTGACATTTACGTTAGATTTCATCTCTTCTAATAGTGCCTTTAAAAAAAAAATCTTTGAACAAAATGGGATGGGCAATTCCTTAACCCTTTCACCACCAGAACTAATTACCTAAAGAAAGAATATGATTATGTGTTAAATTCCAAGCTTATTTAAAAGATGCAGCACAGAATTGAGTAAGTATACAGATAATTGAATCCCCAAGCCTTTCTCTTTATGCAGAGTTTAAATAATTGATGCAAGGATGAATTATCCAGATTCATTATCTCATTTCTGGACTTCATTTTAGTAATTGCAGATTAAAATTCAGCCAACATTTATTGAACAGCAGCTGATTCCAAGATTTTCCATATGCTGTCCCGGTTAATCTTCCTAGCACCTTTGTAGTGTAGGTGTCATTAATTCCATCTTACAGATGAGGAAGCTCAGATTCAGAGGTTTACAACTTGCATGGAATTGGATTTGAAACCACATCCCTTTAAGTCTGACGAAGTTTCCTTTAAACCACATAGATAGACGAGAAATGAAATTTGATCATGGCATGAAAGCCACACATTCTAGGTAAACAATGCCAGCCAGGGGATGAGTTTGCTGCTCTGAGGTTCTAACTGAACATGCCTTGAACATTTCTGAGCATCCAGTCATCAGCCACACTGGGAGCGGAGCAAGACTAAGTTTACACCAAAATTGATTTGTTTTCTTCATCAGTTACCTCTCACTTCCTCTGGAAACAATTTATCTTTGCTACCTGATTTTTGAGTAGAGGAAACATTATGACATTAATTGGTCACCAGTTAAACAGTGACTTGTGATTTATGTAAGGATTATAGGGCTTTTCCGGAAGACTACATTTCCCTTTGCCAATGTTACAGATAAACATTTCATTTTGCATATAGAAGATCAAAACTCAGAAAGGGAACAAACAAGCATTTAAAAATCCAGCGCCTGTTGGGGGAGAAATGTATCCAAAGACTAATTCCTCGGGCACTTACTGTCTCTTATTCACCAAGAAAAGAATACATACGATTGAAAATATATGGGAAAACT